AGGGTATTAAATATAGTTTTGCATTCCCCACTAATGTAGCTTTCTAAGTGTGTGATATATACTAATTTCTGCTACTATGAAGCCCACAGAGCTGACTGCAGGAGAAAGACTTTCAAACGTCGACACAAAAATGGCAACATCCCAATTATTCTCCCTTAATGAATTAAATCATGTATTTAAACATGAGCTAAATGTTCAACAGTGCATTCACACTAACCTTACCAACTGCTAAGAGCTGCACTGTTCAAGTTAGAGGCTGCGCAAAGAAGGTATTTCTCAATCATGATACTCTGGAATACATGTACTTATGCTCAGAATATTGTATACAGGGTGTATTTTTCAGTGGAAGATATGATCTTTACGTTTAGAACGAAGGCATTTTTCTCTGGTAACAGCACCAGGGTAATTCAGTCGTTGCAATATAATCATTATCATGATCTTGATACATAAAGTATACATCAATGAATCAATGTCATATCATTGTATATATATAAAGGCCTCCATATACAGTATTACATCAATACATTGTATGTTCTCGCCATGTCCGTGTGGGTTTCCTCAGGGTGGTAGATCAGTTGGATTCTGAGAGGATCGGCCCCAGGTGGTATTTATGAACCATGGAGGAATGTAACGTCATTCATATACAGTACAACAACTGCAAAGGCCGCTAAGACCACCTGCATTCAGCAGATGTGTGGTACATACAAGTCACCATGTGGTACATACAAGTCACAAATGATGTTTCCAATCAGCACATACAGTCCTGTGCACTGCCACTGTGCTTAGAAACATGCTCACCATGTGAATGTGCCTCAGAATTCATTGCTTCACAGTGCGCGGTTGTTTCACCACCACAATTTCATGAAACCTGAGTAGCTATAACCAACTCGATAAATCCATACACACAATCATACAATCCATAAAATCATAACACACTTTTTGAGTCCTTTGACATGTTTATTAATGAATCAAGCAATATACACTTCATATATAAATCTGACTTGATAAAAAGTGCAGCTTGAAAGTTTCAGAGGTATCTGTTTTATAATCTTTCAGTATTTTAAAATGAAAAAAACCCAACTCAATCAACCCATCCTTGGAGACCTTGAAACTGCACATGTCTGGTTTCAGTATTCTCAGTTGAATGGGACACACATAATTTAAGAGCTGCTTAAGGATGACTTCTTCAGCTGATGTTGATAACAAGTAATGTTGCAAAAATAAGTTAGCATGATAAGTTTTACTGTGTTAAAACTAAACTCTCATTGGACACCAAAAAATAAAAAAAATAAAAAACAGTGACTGTGAAACTCTTAAATTATTTACCCTAAGTTCTTCAAAACAACGAGTGCCTTCAGTTCTTAGTACCTGCTCTGCCCATTAGGGCTTTCTTGGTGTTTTTCTCTGGATGAAACAAAATGATGTAACACTTCGGCGCAAATATCGCAATGAGGAGACCAAAGCTTGAAGCCAAGATGGCAAAAATCTCCACAGCGTCCGAGTATTTCCCAGGAGAGCTGACATAAGCTGGTATGAAAGCGATCCAAACTGCACAGAAGATGAGCATGCTGAAAGTGATGAACTTGGCTTC